ATTTAAGAGTATGGCCTCAATGTGCATCCATTTAGCTATAAATGTCTTCAGTTTCTCTATTTTTATGGGTGAGTAGTATTCCATTTTATATAAAGACAAACACAGCTTCTTTATCCAGTTACCAGTTGAGGGGCAACTGGACTGTTTCCAAGTTTCAGCTATTCCAAACTATGCTGCTAGAAACATGGGTGGACATATATCATTTAGTATAATTCTTTTAATTCTTTCTTTTGGGTAGATACCCAGGAGGGGAATAGCTGGCTCTAATAGGACCTCTAATCCTAGTTTTTTAAGGTATCTATATACTGATTTCCACAGTGGCTGCATCAATCTACACTCCCACCACAGTGAAGTAGGGTTCCTTTTTTCCCACAACTCCGTCAGCATTTGTTATTGGTTGATTTGGTGATAGTAGCCATTTTTTTCTGGAGGTGGGTTCTCAGAATTGTTTTTATTTGCATCTCTCTAATGACAAGTGATGTTGAACGTTTCTCCATATCTTCATTTGCTGTTTCTACTTCTTTGTGTGAGAAATGTCTGTTCATTTCAGATGCCCATTTTTGGATTGGGTCTTTAAATTTGGGAGGTCTGATTTTTGTAAGTTCTTTATAGATTCTAGATAGTAGACCTTTGAGGAAAAGCAGGTGAAAATTCTTTCCCATATTGTGGGTTGTCTCTTCACACTGTTGGTGGTTTCTCTTGCTGTGCAGAAGCTTTTTAATAAGAAGAGATCCCACTTGTTGTTTGTGCTAGTTCACAGGCAACTGAGGTTTTGTTCATAAAATCTTTTCCTATGCCAATATTTTCAAGAGTTTTATCTAACTACTCTTCCAGCTGGTTTACTGTTTCTGCTTTAATATTTAGATGTTTAATCAATTTTGATTTTAGTTTACTGTATGGTGAGAGATACAGGTCTACTTTTAATCTCTGGCAAGTTGAAACCCAATTTGTCCAGCACCATTTATTAAAGAGACTGTCTTTTCTCCAATGGGAGTGTTTGGCTCCTTTGTCAAAGATGAGGTAGCTGAGTGTGTCTGGAGGTGTTTCTGTATCTTCTAATCCTCTGGTCTGTTTCTTTGCCAGTATCGTGGTGTTTTTATCACAGTAGATTTGCAGTGTAGTTTCGGGTTGGGGATTGAGATACCCCCCTATGTTGTCTTTGTTTCCTTGAATTACTTTTACTATTCTAGGTCTCTTCTAGTTCCAAATGAATTTTTGGATTGTTTTCTCAAGTTCTGTGAAGTATGCTGTTGGAATTTCAATTTGGCTTGCATTGAATCTATATAGCAGTTTGGGAAGTATGGGCATTTTCACTATATTCCTTCTTCCTACCCAGAAGCAGGGGATGTCTTTTTATTTTTTGATATCTTATCTCTTTGATCTCTTTTTTCCGAGTGCTGAAGTTTTCACAGTAGAGGTCTTTGATTTCTTTTGTTAGGTTGATTCCTAGGTATTTTGTTTTTTGGATGCTATTGTAAAGGGTTGGAAGTTGCTTTCTTCTAGGGCTTTAAATCATTCCAGGCTCTTCTTGAGAGTTCGTATTGAGAAGTCTGCTGTGATTCTGATGGGCTTTCCTTTGTATGAGATTTGTTTCTTTTCTCTAACTGCTTTTAGTATTTGTTTTTCTGTTGGGTTTCTGGAATCTTGACTATTATATACCTAGGTGTAGATTCTCTTTAATCACAGCTATTTTAAATCCCATATCCCTCATTTGTCTGTATGTCAAATTATTTTCCCTTGCTTGGGAAGTTTTCTTCCATTACTTCTGTGAACAGCTTTTGTATGTCATTTGCACTATCTCCTGTTTCTTCATTGACTCCTACCATTCTTATATTATTCTTCTTTGTATTATGTAGCAGCTGCTGGATTGATTTCTTGTGGTTCCTTACTATTTTTAAAAAATCTTTCTTTTCCTGGTCACTAGTGGCAATCCTGTCTTCAATACCTGATAATCTGTCTTCACATTGGCTCGTTATGCTGTGTAAACTTTCAATGGAGTTTTTAATTTCCTTGATATCTGTTTGCATCTGTTTTTTGGATTCCATTTGTTTCCTATGTTGGGATTCCATCATGTTCCTCAGCTCCTTTATTTTTTTTTATCTGTGTATGCTCTAGAGGTATTAATCATGTCTTGCACTATGGACACCATCTCTGTTGTTATCTGAGAAATTATTTCTGATTTCATTTTTTCCAAATCCTCTTCCATTGCCAGTTTAGGGGGTCTAGGTGGTTGAGTATCAGTGTCCCATCTCATTGTCCTTTGGGGATACCTTTGGTGATCTTGAAGTCTGGTTTTGTGTCTTGTTTACCCGTTTTCTCATTTCAACAGATGCAGTGTGCTGTACCTTTTTTGAGGTGACTCTTTGCTTGCCCAGTGGGCTTCAATTCTCAGTGAGCCTTAGATAGGCCTGTGAACACTTAGGGATGGTATCTGGGTGGGCCTCTGGCTGGGGCCTGTGTGTTTGAGGTGTTACCCAGGAGGTCCTTTGGCTGTGGGCTGTGCACTCTAGTTGCTGAAATCTGAGTGAGCTTCTGGCTGTGGCCTGCACAAGAACTCTATACCTGAACAAAGTCTCTGTCTCCTTTTTTAAAATTTTGAGTAAGGGTCTTGAGTTTCCCAGGCTGGGCTAGAACTTTTGATCCACTAGATCATACAGGTCAAGCTGCTTATTGTACAGATAATAGAAAGGTCAAAAAGTTGAAACGGACCTGTCCAAGTACAGAAGTGTTGATTACCTTCTTTTTGAAGTACTCCTTTCTCTGGATTCCAATGACATCATTATCTGTTTTCCTCCCAGCTCATTCTAAGTTTCCTCTTCTGCTTTACTTTATTCTATGTCTTGTCTTAGGCTCTTTGCTTTTAGTGTATAGAACCTGTATTTTATAATCTTACTTAATTCCATAGTTTAATTTAATATTACTCTGCTAATGAATACCACATCCACATTTTTTAATTATGAACTTGTCTTTTATACCTATAAAATTTTTATTTTAGTCTCTCATAGATTCCTGAAGATCAACATTTCCAATACTCAAAAATCAGTTTTCTTTTTCCTACCATACAGGCTGTTCTTTCTCCTATGTGCCCTGTTTTCATATGTGGCACCATAATAAATCCAGTTGACCAAGCCAAAAATCTAGAGATCATTCTTGACTCCTTCTCATTCCCTCCCCATCCATCATTCCATTTATCCTAGAGATCTGTAAGGATTAGTCCAGGTATTAATCACTGCTTGTTTATACTATTGTAAGTATAAACTGATTGGCCTCCTAGCATGTGCTACTAGACCTTCTCCCATACAGGCTCTGTACTATTGCCAGAAAGAGGTCCTTAAATATACAAAAATAATTGCCACAGATCTCACTAAAATCACTCAGTAGAATCAGCCTCTTTCAGAATAATCTCTTAAATAATTTGCTAGCTCTGTGTGATCTAATCCTATTTACCTTTCCAGTCTTTCATTCCTTACCCACCCTATTCTATGCATTCTGTTTTCTGTTAAGCCTCTATTATTTGTTATTTGCCTAGCTTTAGGCACTGTGTCTAATACATATTAAGTACTCAATAAAAAAGTATTAACTAGGTACAAAACATGGTAGCTTAGCACTTAATTCACAGTGATTTCTTGCTATACTGCTCTACAGCTAATGCAGTACGGGCTCAAGATTTTATCCTTTCTGCCTTCCTACTCTGCCTTGTGTTCACTTCACTGCATCATAATAGGTATGCTTCAATATAGAAACAGTTCTTGACCTGTGGTTTTTTGGTTCAAGGCTTATTAGTCTGTATTTATCCAGCTCTTACCAAACAATAGTGAAACATGAAGTTAGATTCAGGTAAAGAAATAAGCTCAGCTTTTTGATCAAATGATTTTTTGTATTATTTTTTGCACCTAGTAATTTAGTCACCTAACACCTATATCTTTGAAACAGAAATAAGATCAGTTTGTTCTGAGCAAATTGTGATCCTGAGCCCACTTGTGATCCTGGGAGAATCTTTGTGAGAACTATCTTCTGAACTTGAGTTCCAGGATTTCAACATGTAGAAATCAGTTTCTATCAAATTTTTTTCAGACCTACCACTATGAACATATGTGAAAATTAATGACTTCCTTCATTCTATTGTAAGAATTTAATGATCTTGCAAATTATTGACTGACCATATATTATTTAATATTTTAAATATTGAAAATGTAAAGTGTTAGCAACTTTTAAAAGCTATTTTTTCTTGCCTTCGTAGCCCCTGACCATGACTAGGAATCATGAATGTAGCAATGTGTGTAGCAATGCAGACCACTGACTGAATGACACTTGGCTTTAACCTCCCTTTTCTCACCCTCTTACATTCTTTTCCTCCTTTCCCCCACTTCTAAATAGCATTTTCACCCCACCTTCCAACATCACTTTCTACTGTTTTTCTTTTTCTTTTCTTTTTTTTTTTTGGTACCAGGGATCGAACTTGGGTCCTTGCACTTGCGCAGCAGGCAGTGAAACCACTGAGCTAAATCCCTGGCGCAGACTACTTTCTTTTTCTCTGTGCTGCTACTTATCTTTTTTTTATTAGTAGCATATATTTGCAATACATAATAATTACATTCATCTTAGAGAAATGGTGTGTATATATATATGTATATATATATATGTATTTATATATATGCATATATATATATATGCGCAAAGGGCAACGGGACATTGCCAGAGACCCCTGCAGTGGTCTTGGCCTCCTGTAAGCCAGTATGATGTTTGTGAGATAGGAAAGTGGGAATTAAAAGAAACACACAGACAGAGACTTGAGAGAAACTGAGTTTTGGGCTCATCAAAGCTGTTTTGGGCAGCAAAGACAAAGAACTCCCAGTACATCTAGTGTTTATTTATTATAAGTGTGGAAAGGGGGGAAACTTGGAAGGCCTTGGGACTCCTGCTGATAACAAGTATCAAGCAGGCAGGACTATAAAATGAGGGCACAAGCATATTTTTGTTGAAGAGAACAAACAGTTAATTTAGAGGGGAGGAATTTAGCTAGAGCTGAGTTGACCTTGGCTGGAAGTGAAGTTAGCTGATTGCACTACTTTTAATGTAACACAGCCGAATTATGGAAGGGCAAGAAGCTTGTGCCACTATAGCCTGATAATACTGAGCAGAAGTGTTTACTACATCTCCTTCTTTCTCTTTTGGAAACAGCAGCAGCAACAGGGTGAGTTGAGGAGGCATAGCATGTAGACACTGGTTGGTGGTAGTTTTTGTATGGCATGATATTTCTGTTTGCTTTTGGGTCTCAGTGGCGGGTGGTGCATCGGATTTGGTGATCTTTGCAGGTCTGAGTTTATTGTTTGTTGGAAGAAAAGCATATTCTGGCCCCTATATTATTAATTGTATTGAGCCATTTTATCTTTTAGTTAGAATATCTTTTGACAACACTTCTGTCTAGGACATTTCTGTAGATTCATCTTTGTATCGATGGAGTTTTGATGGAGTATATTTAATTTTTACAACTGGATTTAAAATATTTTAAATGAAGGCAGCAAGAGAAGGTAACAAAATCTAATTGAGCTTGTGGAGGTAGTTGTACTCCTTTTTTGTTTATGTAATTGTGTTTTTAGGGAAAAGTGAGTATGCCCAGCAATGGCTTATCCCTGTCAATTATAAGGACCTATAATATGTTTACCTGACCTGTTGGAAATGAGTTTTTAAAAAGAACTATCCTCAACTGCAGTTAGGGGAGAAAGGGTGTAGTTTTTAATCCATTTTGAGCTGAGAAGTGTCAATGTGGGGAAGATTGTAGTTAGGGACCCCTTTTAGGGAGCTAATTTAATAGGCCTTAAGTCAGAGCCATGTTGTAATTTAGCAATTATAAACTCTATAAAGTCAATCTGATGGATTGTGGTTAAAAAAGTCTAGTATAAATGTTGTTGATATTATCTGTATGATTACCTGGAGGTTCAAAAACCTATAGACAGTAATAAAAGTTTTAAAGAAATTAGAGTATGTATAAAGTATAAGCACTATAATAAAAAGCAAGTTGGGGAAAGAGCCATGTTTAGAAATCATTTTTAAGAGACTAAAATAGGAATTGTAACCTGATGGCTTTTGGACACTTTTATTAATGGAGGTTGTCTATAAGTTTGATATTTTGTCATAATTTTTAAAATTTTAGCTGTAAAAGGATTAAAATTTTAATAATTTAAAAAATAATTTTAGCTAAAAATTTGAAAAACTCTGGTTGAAGTCTTATAAACTTTACCATAGTTTTATCTAATGACCCATAACAGTGGTTAGCTATTGGTGTATTTGGAAAGTGTTAGAAGGGGTTAGCAATTGGAGCCTCTTTTGAAATCTAGTTTACTATTATGTCTTAAATTTATATATTTTTAGTTAATATTATTATTAGTTTTTAAATTATTTTTATTTAAGACTAAGTTAAGATGAGACCTATATTTTAAAAATTAACTTTTCATTAACTATCATGGTTAATTAAGTCTCTTTAGGCTAGCTTGCAACCATGTATAGCGCCTTTGTCTGTTATATATATTGCAACTGAGTCCTTCTTACTTCCCCTGCCATTTTTTTGTGGTATGGGGGATTGAGCTCAAGGCTTTATACATGCTAAGTAAGCACTTTACCACTTAGCTCCATCTCCAATTCTGCTGCTTCTCAATATTACTATTGGTTTGTGATTGCACACGTGTGCTTGTGTGTGTGTGTGTGTGTGTGTGTTTTGAGGGAAGAGGAAAATGAATGAGAAAAGCAATACCTTCAACCTTGCAAGCTAAGACAGAATATGTTTCCTCACTCTTGCACATAAAAATGATATAAAGTCTTGCATTAGCAGAGCTGTGAGTAACCATAGAAAACCCTTGCAATCTCATGTGGGGTACCTGAGGCTCAGATATGTGAAGGGATTGCATAAGCCAGAGCTCAACCACACCACAATTTTACATGCAAAGGAGACAACAAATGTGCTAACGTGCTTAATATACCTGTTAAGTTCAAGGGAACTTTTTAGGTATAAGTAGGTGAGTGCATCATTAAAGAATGTATAAATAGCTATAAAATCCCCATTTCAAAGTCTGAATTAAGGAAAGAAGTGCAGTAAAGTGTTTATGCTCCTATTATGCATAGTTTATGCATAATTGCCTTACACTTGCCTTCATACTATCATAAACTCTGATAATAATGGCTGCCATTACTTTGTGAATTTCCCAGAGAGGGGTTTGAGCTTTATGGAAGACGTTGCATACATCCAAAAAAGCAAAGAAATGTTTTACGATGGTGACCTTGTTGTCTGCACATACCATCCGGTTACTGCCTCATCTCACTACAAATAATGTGCCAATTTGGACAAAAATTATAGTGTAAGCCACAATGAGATGCAAAATAGATCCTCTCTTTTTTTAAAATGATCTAATACTCTGCAACAGGTTTCATCAGAACATGCAAAATATTTAGTATTGGTTCACAAAATCATTAAGTACTTTATGCATATATAATCCTTTTATTAGAGTCTGAGTGCTTTTTGAAGCCTTATATTTTTGTGTAATTTATGATATTATTCCAAAATTGCCAGTGACATCTGTAACAAAGAGGTTAAATGAACTGTGCAAGGTAACACATCAACTTTGAGATTAGCAAACCTGGAAACATTATGGGCATTAAAATTACTTAAGAGTGTAATAGCCCTTCTCTTTGTATGTTTATTCTTTTACAATTCTATGAGTTGGCTCAGTTTTATTTTAAATAGATCAAAAGACTACAATTTAAAATAAAACTAAATAAAAGAATTCTAACATATATTGGGAAAAATGCTCTGTATTGTGGTCTTCAGACTGAGAAATATTCTCTTTTGGTAAAAGAATAATAGCTCTTTGAAGTCTCTAGCTAATGTCATTCTTCCAACAGCCTCAGCAGACCACATATTACAGCCTACTCAGGACAACCTCACTCCTACTTTATCTAAATAAGCTAGAACATCAAGTGAAAGTACATTGAACATCTTTTCCTGCATGGATGGACTTGTATGAATCCTAGTCCATTCTTATCTCCTGTTGTAATGGGAAATGCATACTTCTGCTTCTAGAAAGATGTTTCTTTCAGCATGGAGTCTCATTACTATAGTTTTAATATATTTTCCAAAATTCATATCTTAGGAACTTAACCCCCCAATGCAGTGTTGAGAAGATGGGCCTAACAAGTGATTAGTTCATGAAGGATTTTCATCTCCTCTTGTTCACGTGCTCTTTTGTACTTTCTTGTCCTCTTGTCTTTCACCATAGGATAATGTAGCAAGAAGCCTCCTAAATAGATGATGGCACCTCGACACTGAACTTGCAACCTTTACAACTGTGAGAAATATATAAACTGCTTTTCATTTTCCTTCCTTCCTTCCTTCCTTTCTTCCTTCCTTCCTTCCTTCCTTCCTTCCTTCCTTCCTTCCTTCCTTCCTTCCTTTCTTCCTT